CTCTCTCTCTCTCTCTCTCTCTCTCTCTCTCTCTCTGGCCCTCTCTCTTTATCTTCAGTCATTGTGGTCGTTGCATGTCAGGAGTACTGAAAGACGCAACGATTGACATTTGCGAAAGAGCATATCATATCGTGCAGCAGGAGAAAATGACTGGAAGAAACGGCGAAAACCGACGACATGAGCCAAAATAACGATTTTTTTCCCATACACAGAACGTAACGTTCTACGAAAGGTGAACACGTTTAAACAAGTTTTCAACACATTTCAACAAGTTTTCAACACGTTTCAACACGTTCTCAACACGTTTCAACAAGTTATCCACAAGTCTTCAACAAGTTGTCAACAAATGGTCAACAGATGGACCAACATCCTTTCAACAAATAGACCAACAAATGGACACACCAGTTTATGTGAGCCCAATGTTTGGTCAGCGTTGGTTTCCTTCACTTCTGGTGGAACACATGAACCCCCCCCTGCCAAACAATTTATAAACACAGTTCCAACGGTTGAAATATGGTGTCCACACGTTATCATCCTGTTAGAAAATTTGCCACACTTTTTCTGTTGGTGCTATGAAAGGTTCATTGAACCTTATCACGAAAGGGGGAGAGGAGGAAGAAGAAGAAGAAGAGGAGGAGGAAGAAGGAGGAAGGAGGAGGACAGGAGAAGGAAGAGGGGAGGAGAGAGCACTTACCTGACCGTACGATCAGACGATTGCGACGACGACGACGACGACGGTGGCGACAGCGAGAGAGCGAGAGAGAGAAAATGGGTAAGTCTCTTACCCCACGGCTAGCCTAACATTACTCTCATCAATAGCGTGAATAAATAAATAAATAAATAAATAAATAAAGCAAACGAATCTAACACTACAACGTGGAATGTACATCATGTGTGTGTGTGTGTGTGTGTGTGTGTGTGTGTGTGTGTGTGTGTGTGTGTGAGAAAGAGAGAAAGAGAGAGAAAGAGAGAGAGACTATAAGTCTCCAACCTTGGCCAACATCCAAGTCTCCAACCTGCGCGCTTTATCGCGCGCTACTTGGATCAATAGAATGAGCAAATCAAAAAGTGCAGTGTATATTTCCACGTTTCAGCGGAAGATTCATTCCGTTTTTGCTCATCCTATCGACGGAGTGTGTGTGTGTGTGTGTGTGTGTGTGTGTGTATGTGTGTTTGTGTGTGTGTGTGTGTGTGTGTTTGTGTGTGTGTGTGCGAGAGAGAGAGAGAGAGAGAGAGAGAGAGAGAGAGAGAGAGAGAGACAAAGAGACAGAGAGAGGGAGACTATAAGTCTCCAACCTTGGCCAACAGCCAAGTCTCCAACCTGCGCGCTTCACCGCGCGCTACTTGGATCGATAGAATGAGCAAATCAAAAAGTGCAGTATATATTTCCACGTTTCAGCGGAAGATTCATTCTGTTTTTGCTCATCCTATCGATGGAGTGTGTGTGTGTGTGTGTGTGTGTGTGTGTTTGTGTGTGTGTGTGTGTGAGAGAGAGAGAGAGAGAGAGAGAGAGAGAGAGAGAGANTGTGTGTGTGTGTGTGTGTGTTTGTGTGTGTGTGTGTGTGAGAGAGAGAGAGAGAGAGAGAGAGAGAGAGAGAGAGAGAGAGAGAGAGAGAGAGAGAGAGATGATACACGTGGCATCAGCAGGTGCGGGCCGAGGTTGTGGGTGAAGGGAGAGACTTACCTGGTGCAGATGCGTATGGCATTGACTGCTGTCTGTGCGCACTTTGGAAAGTTGTTGATGTCACCTCCGGCAGCGTAGTAATGGGATAGATAGGATCTGCCAGCTGTAGTGTGGATCTGATCACATATGTATGAGGATGTTTGGTTTCTGAAGTTTGCTATCGCTCGTTTTCTTCCGTGCATTATTGTTATTATTATTATTATTATTATTATTATTATTATTATTATTATCAGGTGCATAGTGATTCTTGGGTGCGTGTGGCGTCTGTGAGTGGGGGAACAAGGTTGTGAGTGTAGTGTGAGACATACCGGGTCATGGAAGCGTGCGACATTGGTCGCCATACGCTCGTACTTCAGGAATGCTGTTGATGTCATCTTTCGGCTTCGTAGTATAGGCTAGATAGGATCTGCCACGTGTAGTCTGGGCGCCGAGCGCCAGAAAGAATAGCAACATTGTCTCTTCAATGATGATGATGATGAGACTTTACCGGCATTGTCAATTATGAGCCTTTAATGTACTCTTATTTCGTGAAACTCGTGATGCAATTCTGTTGTTGGTTCGAGCTCACGACTATCTAGTCTTGTGAGTATGATGTTGCTTGGTCCTGAAGTTCGCGATTGCTTATTTTTCTTATATTTTCATTATTATTATTATTATTATTATTATTATTATTATTATTATTATTATTATTATTGTTAATATTATTTTATTATTTTATTAAGTAATATTATCAATGTTTTTTTTTTTTACTACCGAGCTTTAGTCTTGACAGTGAATGTGGCTACGCACGTTTGAGAAGGGGGGGGGACTGTGCCAAGCTGTCCATTACGTGACTCTGGCACGTGCTACTTTGTTTCTTCTCTGTCTTTTGCTTTCCTGGAAATGTTGCAAGATGAACGCCCGACATTACGGCTCCCATGTCAGCTCTACTCTGATACGTCCCCCACGTGAAGAGCAACTACCAAGCAGATTGAATGTTGATTGTTTCACTCATACAATGCAAAACCTGCTTCACATCAGTGGCCTTCCAACAACTTCCCTGGGGCAATCATCAATGACATCATCTGAGCCCGCCAAACTGAGACTCACCCATTCGCACTTGCACTTGCACACACAGCGTCCAAACTCTACGGATAAGCACGCTGCATCGGTGTATTGGGGATCGAGGGTGTGAGTGATATGGGGGACATACCTGGTGCTTGAGGCGAATGGCATTGGCCGAGATCTGCTCGTACTTCGGGGAACTGTTAACGTCATCAGCGGCTTTGTAGATAGGCTAGATAGGATCTGCCATTTATGGTCTGGGCGCCGAGCGCCACATAGGATATCAATATTGGATCTTCGTTGATGATAATGACGGGGCTATTCCAGCATTGTCAATTATGAGCGATTGGTGTACTCTTATTTGGTAGAAATCGTAATGCAATGTTGCTGTTGGTTCGAGGTCAAGACTATCTAGCCTCATATGCATGATGTTGTTTGATTACTAAAGTTCGCTATTGCTTATCTTCTTCTATTTTTTTACTATTATTATTGTCATTGAAATCAGACTCGCTTTCATTCACACTTTTCATGCACGCAAACAGTAGCGCAGCAAACTGGCGACAGACGCCCACTCAAAGCTCATAAATATAAGAAACTGAGAACACAGTGCAGATGCAAACCCGCTTCAGGGAGATTATGATGTTGTCACGATCAAACAGCTCTCTGTTCGTCACTTTGTTCGACTCCACCGTTCAAACGCACTTAGCTTAGGATCACCCTGTATATCCC